AGGGTACCCCGTGGCGTATACCTCCTGTATCTCCTCTCTTGAACAATAGGACGCCTTTTGTTAATAGCTGAGACGTGTGTTGGTACACGTGAGGAGCCGGATAAATCAGATAGATTGTCCTTCAATTGTTCGATGTCCTGGGACAGTTTTTTCACAGCTGAGATGATGGAAGGGGTGAGATTGTCTTCGAACTCTCGGAGTTTATGAACCATTTCATCCACTGTTAGTGGTACTATGTCATTCCAGGTTACTGTTGCCAATGAATGGGCATATGATGACGGTGCATTCCGTGTAAGTTTTCGCCACATGGGTCGTGTACATTCAACTTCATCTGGATCTATAGGTGTATCCCCGTTATTCGGCTTGATGTGATAGATCATCTCTACGATGGCCGATTCCCTCAGAGACTGGATGCCTTTGTCTATAGTATTCCACTTGGCCGAACGACTCGTAACATCATCCTTGTACGGAAACCTTTCTTTCACAGCTGCCAAGAGCCTCCTCCAAAGGCTGAGGGACTTTTTCTCTCTTGCAATTGCTTTGTCAATTCCCCCTTCTCTAGCAAGTGATCCCAGCTGCTTGGCTTCTGTACCTTCTAGTTCGTGACCATCAGCCCCATTGTCCCAGCATCGGAGTAACCAGGTGATGATGTGCTCCCCTGGTTGACGGGTAAAATCTTTTCGCATATTCCGCAGCTCGGTTGAGGTCCGAGGTCGAGAAGTTACCTCTTCTTCTTCTTCTTCGTCATGTGATGATGACTCCTGATCAGATTCTGGACCGGGTGGTGAATTCATTGGTTCTTCATCTCGCTTCACCCTTTTTGCCTCCTTTTTGCTTGTTCTCTTGCGTACAGGGGCAACTGATATTGGTACGAATTGGTCCTCTGGTTTGGCTGCAGTGATTATCACTGTGGTTTGAGTAGCAACTGTACTTGTTACTGGGGGTGGTGTAGCTACTGTGCTTGGAGCTGGGGTAACCGCGCTGTCTGTTGCAGTTGAAGTTTGAGCAGCTGCTGTACTTGCCACTGGGACAGCTGTGCTGTTCATTGCAGCCAAAGTTTGAGTAGCGACTGTTGCTTTGCCCTCAGATCCGCCGACATTCTTTTCCTTTTGAAGGTGCTGGATAGTGTTGAACAAGGCCCTGTAAGCATAGGCCAAGCCCCAGCACGTTGCCATGATTTGTCCATCTCTGGTATGGCCAGAATGACCACACACCTCATTTAAGTGTTTTACTAATTCTTCTGGATTTTGCAGTTGTTCAGTAGTGAAATTCCAAAGTACTGGAGGGGCCCACTGACCTAGATACTTGCCCATACTATCCCACACACCCTGCCACTCATGGTTGTCCAGCCTCAGGGAAAATCTCTCGGTCCTCCTACATCGTCGTTTGACCCCAGACAAGACCCAAACCTGAATCTGTTTAACTCTTGAAATCAGTAGTGGGTAAAACACACTCTGTATGCGTGTTAGCATGGTGATTCCCATCACCATCAGCAAACAAGTCTCAACAGCATTAAAAGGCCATTCAAAAAATTCAAAACTCTCAAATGTAAATGGTCTGGGGGGACGACTAGGAGGGTAAAAGGATGTCTCCTTCCCAGGTTGAGCACCTGAGAAGGAGAAAAAAGATGTGTAATTGCTAAGCACCTCCATCATATACCTCCCAAAGTATAAAGGTGGTGACCACACTGGGAACATAAGCCAGATCAATTTCATGATCAATGATTCTATTGTATTACAAGTCATTACCATAAAGTACAATGGGATAAAAACCTTAGCCCAAGCCCCGTACTTGAAAAACACTAATACAGCAAGTACCGGATGGACGTAAGATATCATATACTGAAACTGTGAGATCAAGAGGAACAACCTTGAGAGCCAATAAATCAGCATTGTGTCGAGTGACTATCAATCCAGTCAGATCTGTTCTTATCTCAACCCTTCGTGCCCCACGTTGGGCGCCAAAAAGAACTGTCGTGGTTTAAACCCAGTCAGGTAGCTTGTTCACTCACTCCCAGTGAGTGGTGCCGAGCTGACAACAATCGAGGTCCGTGTCCGTCTCCCCCCCTGCCTCCCCGCACCGGGGCTCTCCCCTTCCCCGCTCCCGGAGGAACGGGGAGGAGGATCGAGAGAGTGCAACTCCTACGGGTTGAGATAAAAACAGTCCAGCAACAAATCACCACCGCTACTATCAGCTACAACAATGATAAGGGAAAATAACAAGGGAAGAGAATACGATACCACCGGCCAAGAGAAACGAGCTCCACCCGGAAACCCCTCTCCTTCCGGGTCACTCCCAGTTACCCCTCACCCCGGGCATGACGTGCTGTGGTATGGAATACCTCCCCGGCTAGCCCGGGTCAGGCGCCCCGTCTCTGCTTCCTCACAGCCTCCCCTCCTCCCTGGCAGAGCATGAGCCTCACAGAGTCCTTGGTCAGGGTAAACATCACTTAGCAACAACCGAGAACATCGGCTTCACCAACACTGTTCTCAAACTGGAAGTCAAAACACAGCACTGTACCAGTTAACACAAAGGAAAAACATGACTGCTACTGCGGAACCCAGGACACACGCGTTGAGCAGTGGGGATACATGCCACACCAGAACTTGATGTGAGGGATGGCCTCCTCTAAGAGGGCCATCCAGGAGGGATGGGCAGGCCAACTAGCCAGTGGTTGGCACAAGAGATGATCTAGTCTAAATCCCCTGCTCAAGCAGGGTCATCTAAAGCAGGTTTCATCATTAGCATAATTAACTATTATAAGTAATAATAATATAATAAATAACTATCATATTTGAATCTTCTGTTCTCAAAAGCTAATGTCAAGAAGCTGCTCTTGGGTGATTTAAGATTCCTTAAGCAGAAAAAGGGATAAAGAAAGCCAAGGACTGTGTCTTTGGAAGTAACAACATCTATCTCCAGGTTCCCAAGACTCCCAGTGTATCTGGCCAATGCATTGGTGAAATCTTGTTTTGGAGCCTGGACATCACTGTTTTGCTTTGCTTTTCCTCCATATCATATGGAGATTTGCGAAGAACCAAAGCCAAAGTGCTCACTGCCTTGATTGTGCAAAACAAAATACAGCAGCGACTGATCTTTGATTTTAGTATGTAAGCATGGGTGTGAAGACTTTGATGGGTTATGTTGCAAGAATTTAAGTGACTACTCCAGTTCAATACATGCACAAATACAAAAGTTAAAGACCCTCACTAGCCACCTAGCAGAAAACACCAGGTGGAACCCCTTTCAGGGATGGACACGGGGATGGGACTGGCTGTGAAAAGCTGTTATATTATTAGTGGTAATAGGTATTGGGGTTTTATGTATTTTAACGTTGTGGTATGTATGTAACCTGCTTTGCATTAATATATATATATATATATTTGCTTTGCACTAATAACTGAAAGGAGGTGTTTGGTGTCCAGCTTTGTACATGGGAAGTGGGGGTTTCTAAATGACAGTGTGGGTCTTCTCCCAAGTAAGAAGTGTCAGAACAAGAGGAAATGGCTTCAAGTTGTGCCAAGGGAGGTTTAGACAGCATATCAGGAAAAAAATGGTCACTGAAAGGTTTGTCAAGCATTGAAACAGGCTGTCCAGGGAAGTGGTGGTGTCACTATCCCTGCAGGTATTTAAAAGACATGTATCTGTGGCACTGAGGGACACAGTTTAGTGGTGGACTTGGCAGTGCTGGGTTAACAGCTGGACTTGACCTGAAAAGTCTTTTCCAACAATTCTATGACTTGCCTAGATAAGAAAATAAGCATACAGAAAACACTAATGCTCACCAGCTGTGCAATAATCATAGAATTGATAATCCAATAATTAAAACTGCAACATTTTATCATGCACACAGCTCATTAAAGCTGCCTGCTCATTAAGTACATTATGCAATTCTGGAACTCATTTAGAACATTTGCGCACATTTCAAAAACTGTTTAGAATGGAAGAGAGAAAACTATGCACCAACAGAATTAAATTAAATGAAAGCCAGTGAGGTCTCTAACTGCAGTTTCTGCTGAGAATTTACCAGATTCTCTTTGCAGCCATTTTTTAAAGTAATTTCTCTTTTCCAACCTCACCAACAAAGAGGAGAAATCACAATGATCACATACTCTCCTTTATTTAGGTGTTCCAAGTGGAAGATACTTTTTGTTATACTTACAATACTGCTAACTATCTATCCTTCAGAAGCCAGAAGCCTTTTTTCAGGTGTGTGCTTTCAAAGCCACAAAATGAAAATTTGAGTGAAATTGAAGTTGAGCCATACCTGGAGCTCCTCTAAAAACAAGAAAGTGCCAGCTGTGCTTTTTCATTTCCTCCTCTATTACTGCAACTGTCAGCGCCGAATGAAACTCTCCCCTGGAAAACAGAAATCCAGGATTATGCTGCTAGTCTGGAGACTGGTCAAACTTTCACCAATATCCTGCTCTATTACAAATATAATATCTCATTTTTCAGGTCACCACCAATATTATGGTTCCAATGAACAAAAGGACATGTTAGGATAAATGGACTAAAAATCTCAGAGAGGCATTTATGATAGTTCCATAGTTCTGTTTCTTGTAATACTGTTTTGTTACAGTTTTGCCTTGGATTATTTAAGGAAGCAATCTTTCATCAGCTGCTTATGTCCAAAACTAAGAAAGCAAACAGCAAATGCTGCTAAGTTTGTCTTTTTACTTTCAGACACTCTTCTCTTGGCCAAAACCGGATTTCTATCAGCTTAATGTACCCTCATTAAAACAAGCTCCCTACTTGATATATCTTGCCAGAATTTCTTTAACAAAATACTTCTAAGGAAGTCAATGTTTAAAACAGAGGAGTACACATACATTTAACCAGTTGCCTAAAGCCCAACACTAGCAGATTCACTATGCTGTGCTATCACTTCAGTTTTCATGAAATCATGTAATCTTTCAAACTGCCAATCTGATGACTAAGAAGCTTTTGATTTTAATACGAACAGTTATGATTAAGACTATATAGTAATTGTAACATACCATCTTTCTCAGCTGTATCTTGAGGCTTGGATTTTAAAGTGAAGATCTTTCTCAGTTTACAGGTAGCTGAAATACTAATTCCATCCAAAGACTGGAAGGCAGCTCCTCTGAATATTTCACTGGTGAATCCTACCAAGTCAATACACATATTGCACCACTAGAAAAGAGAAACAATACTCTTTAATAAAACCCAAACACTAATCATTGCAGAAGAGTTTTAGTGTAGAATTCTCTATAAACAACATCTCTGTTAAGTATTAGATTTTCACAAGTTGCAATTAACAGTGCACATTTTGATAATAGAAAATATATTGCTATATTTGCACGTACAGCTATTACTTATACAAATCAGTATATACAACCTAGTGACTGCCAGCCCAACTAGCACATCTACAATATGTTTTGCAGCTAACTTGTAAGAAAGTATATTTATTAAAGGTTTTTTGCGGAAAAGAATTCGTTATTCAGTATTATTTCATAAGTTAAAGTTACTACAGCTTAAGTACTCCAGAGGCTAGAGTTTGAGAGTCTCTGAAGATTTGTTTCTGAGATTCATAAAACAAAAAAGACCTCTCCAAAGCTTGCACCCCTTCCACACTGAAAAATATCAGGAAAATGTATATTATGTATACCAGTGTATCATAATATCTTAAAACTACTTCTTGTGTTTACAGCAAGTTAAACTACCAATCTAATCACTGAAAGCAGCATACCTCTTTTAAGTAAAAGCAACAATAAAAAGGCAGATAACCATGTAAAAGAGACAGATATGTATTCAGATATACTAAGAAATACAGTCCTAGTCTTCCAGGTTGGTCAAGCATTAAGGTTATTAAAATATTTTGTCATTAGAACTGATAAGAGCATTTAGATGGATCTTTGATTAATGTTTTATTATCTAAATTAAAACACAAACCTGAAGTTCATATTCTGATTAACTTTAATGTGATGTACTTTAATGCATACTTTAATCCTGAAACATCTGTGCTAGTCTGGTACCAAAGCCAACTAAATGAAATTATATGGAAGAAAAAAATATTATTTGTAGTGGATCTTGAACTTCAGGGGTATGATCTGATGTATATTAATTTATAAAAAAAAAAAACAAAACAAAAAAAACAGCAACCAAATTATCACAGCTGCCTCCACCAAAACTACTCTAAAAGAAGTCATAACTTCAGGTTTTTTGTAAGATATTCTTTCTCATGTTTAGCCTTAAATCCAGATCTGCTTAGTATACTAGATGCTATCTAGTTCTCTTGGTGCATACTTATATTGTAAAATAGTGAAGCTATTCTCATCTCCACGTGATTTTCTAAAGCAGCATTTGAGACTTGAGTCTTTACAAGGTTATGTGGTAACCATCCGGTTTTATATTCTGACAGCTACTATGTTGTGACTGGGTGTGGAAGAGTAGAACAGGGAGATGATGATGGCTGTGAGGTTGTTTTTATTAGTTTGTCATACACGCTTTATATGTGCCAAAATCTGGAAGAACCTGAAGCACAGGAAAGTAGCCATCAGCTATAGTTTACCTGCAGCTCCACTGAGCATAATAAAAGCTCACTACTACATGATAAGGTACACATGAAAAGGAGCACTATAATGAAGAAGTATCAAGGACACAGAGAAATTACAGAGGCTGAATAGATGGCAGAAGTAAGGAATAAACACATCACAAATAATACTGATCTTGGAAAATGGGAATGAACTCCTAATGTCAGAAGAAGGGTAGAAAAGTAGCAGTATTAAGCAGTTCTGATACTACCCAGCAGAAAGGACATACACATCTGCCTTGAATGAGCAGGAACTGAATTATAAACCAAACTAATTTCAACGGGTCTATAAACTTCCATAAAATGTTTCTGGTGAAAAACCTGTGCTCGACCACAGTTCAAGAAATATTTCCAAAGTACTTACTATTCTGCGTTTCATTGTAAACAGTGGAATTTTTGCATGCAAAAGGGGTCACAGACAACTCCTTGTGGACTGTTGATAAATACAATCTTCTTTTAATATTTCCTAAATCAGTTATCCTATAAAAGAAAAAGCAAGAAAGAATGGAACAGATGTTTGTCAATTCAGTAATCCAGTATCTTTGGCTAAGATATCTTTTTATCATAAACACATCTATTCATACACAGAACCTTTGTGTCAGTGATGGCAAATACAGAATTTGAGAATTACTGCTTTTACAAGATGAGTAGTAAGATTTCTTTCTCCAATTCAAAATTGGCAGCTAAACTCCTGCATGTAGAAAATCAACATTTCAACAGTCTACACTCTTTGCTAGCTTTCCAGAGCCCTTCAGACTATGAAAGAATTCAATTTGTATGAATCGAGAACCCAGTAGCCTTTAATAATCGCTTTTGTTTCTGCCCCTTAAGCTTGCGTTATCTTGGGACACACCAGCACACACTAAGTAGAAAAACATTATCTGCTTTCTTTTCCTAAAAATGTCTCTGTCATTTCAAATAGACTCTTTTCAGCTAAAAGACAGAGACACAAGACATTGTCTGTATTACTTTCTGAGCACGTCTCTTCAAATGTGAAGTATATTACTGAAGTTTATTACTCGCTATTCTGGTCATCCAACAATGACACCAAGGACATTTCAGCTACAGGTTGGGCAGAGAAGAGATTCAGAGCAGCCCTGCGGAGAAGGACTTGAGGAGTGTTGGTGCATGAGAAAATGAACAGGAGCCGGTTTCAGTGTGCGCTTGCAGCCCACACACCTGGGCTGCACACACGTGACCAGCAGGTCGAGAGGTGATCCTGCCCTTCTAAGACCTCACTTGGAGTATTGTGTGCAGTTCCTTCCTCAACATAAAAAGGACATGGAACTGTTGGAACAAGTCCAGGGGAGGGCCATTTGGAGCACCTATATGAAGATAGGCTGAGAAAGTGTCAGTTCATCCTGGAGAAGAGAAGGCTGCATGGAGACCTCATAGCAGCCTTCCAGGATCTGAAGGGGGCCTTACTTTTCTTGGGACACACAAGGGGTAGTGGGTTAAAACTTAAACAGGGGAAGTTTAGATTAAAATGAAGAAGTGTTTTACTGTAAGGGTGGGGAGGCACTGGGATGGGTTGCCCAGGGAAGCTGTGAATGCTCCATCCCTGGCAGTGTTCAAGGCCAGGTTGGACAGAATCTTGGCTGACATGGTTTAGTGTGAGGTGCCCCTGCCCATGGCAGGGAGGTTGGAACTAGATGATCTTAAGGTCCTTTCCAACCCTAACTGTTCTACGATTCTATGACATTTCTAACAGATACAGACCACAGCCATGCTCACAAAGATTAGGTTTCTTTAAATCAATAAAGAGGCTTATTTTTATGTCCTGTTTCATTCAAGTCTTGTGAGCACCTGTACTGATTTCAGCTGGCATAGAAGGAAATTTCTTCAAAGTAACTTACACAGACCTGTGTTTCAGATTTGTGTTGAAAATGTACTGGTGGCACATAGGTGTTTTTCTTATTGCTGATCTTACACAGCATCAAGGCCTTCTCTGCTTCTTATACTGCCCTGCCAGCAAGGAGGCTGGGGGTACAAGAAGTGGAACGGACAGTGAGAGCACTGCTATGCGTGGCTTAGCTGCCTACTGGGGTTAAACCACAACAGCAGCACAACCTTGATATCCCCCAGCAGTTCTACTTTATTATACCAGAGAACAGACATTACTTTAGAGACTGCAATCTGTATGGGGAAGTAATGATTAATTTACCTATTATTTTTGAACAAGACTATTTCTAACAGATGGGTACTCCTCTCTAATTACCAGCCCCTTTGAGAAGATGACACATTATTACAATAAACTTTCTGTCACTAGTTAGTGTTTTTAGACATAATCATTATATTTAAATGCTGGGGTTTACTTTGAAATTGTGAGAAAGCCCTGTAGATTTTTTTATCACTGAAAACACTTTTTCAACTATTTGTAGCTTAGCTAATGAAATGTTGCCACCCAAAATCTGCAAACACCCTAAAATCTTCTTAGGTTTCCTTAGGTCAGTTTAGGAGGGCATTAACTCCAGAGCAAGTTACATACTTGAGCTATTCTGCCAATCTGAGAGTTCAGCCAAGAGCAGTACAAAATACACTGCAAGTATGTAAAGATCAAAAAGTTCTACCAGCACACGTAATAAAGATACAGCAGCACCTCCTTGTTTCCCCACAGTCATTAAGATCATTATGCATATCAAACAAAGCCCATAAGCCTTACAGAACTTCTTGATTCTTTCCTCTCCCCTGGAGACCATCCGATGTTTAACCTATTAATCTTCATAACATGGGTGGGCAAATAAAAACACGGTGGAGGAGTCTACTAGCTGCTTCACCTTGCAAGACTAGCAGTTAGTCTAGTCACATGCACTTCGAAGGCAAAAATTTCACTGGCGTGCCAGGGGAAGAACATTACATCCTCACCACTGCTGTCATTTGACATAGCAGATTTCTGAGTCATCTGCACATATTTATGGATGTATGAATAACAACATCAAGCCCTTGAAAAGTTATTTCATCAGAAGACCTCAAAGTGTCTTACATCCTACTTTTCAAGACTTAGTTCCATTCATCACTTTGCTTCTCATATGCCCTTTGATGGAAAATCTACGGATGGAGTTATCAGAAATCTCCACTCTGTCTAAACCTTCATAGGAGATTAAGGTAATAAAGAACCCTAAAGAACTGAAGTAGTGGTTGCTTGAAATCCCTAAGTCTCCTTGCTATGTGTAGAGCTAAGCAACTGTCCTTAGGAACCACACAGTTGCAATAACCTGAGTGCTGAAGCACAAATACTATTCCTGCTGAATCTCAAGCTCTGTAATTCTCAATGTAGAATGTTGCTTTAGATGATGCTACAACAGAGAGGTAGGTGCCTAGACTGAAGTCACGCATTATCTCCAAACAACTGGTAATAAAAACTTAAATTCACTTTATAATATTAGTTCAGTATGTTTGTATTTTATTATTTATATTAATAGTTTTATCTTTCTCTCTCCTGAAAAATATTAGGTACCTCAGCGATAAAAAGGCCATTAGTAAATGTACAGCTCAGTTACATTCCAAAGTGCAGTGCAGCACTGAGCACTTCTATTTAGATTAAAATACAAACACTTATATCTGACCCTGTTATGCAAATCTAAAATAAGATTGTTCTTGTGACGGTATGTGTGCTGTAAAGAAGCATCAAACCTTAGATATATAGTTACGATCAAACCTAAAGAGATTTAAGATTTATGTTAATAATTACATTTAAAACAGTAAAGATATTTATACAGTACATGAAAAAGTAGGTGGAACATCTGAATAACTGGCAAAATTGGAAAAAGATGGTCTTAAAATTCTGTAAAATCATTTACTTCCTGGAAGAAGAGTTGGTGTAACTTTCAGACTTCAGTTACATTGCTTCTTGGAAAAGAAACCAAGGGGTTGATGAAACTCTTCTTAAATAATACAGACAACAGGAATTAGAACATTTGAACTCTCACTTGTAAAATGATACAAGAATACTTGTGGTGAAACTCAACTTTTTCCTGTTATCAAAAAGCACAACCTATGCTAAACCTACAAAGCCAAGAAACATCTGCAGCACATGTCTTGATTTTCAAAGGTGTACTAAAAAAAAAACCTATATAAAAGTTAAAGTATTTTTATTATGTCTGTGCTTGAGTATTTATATCTAAGGGTCAGATGTGCTAGAAAAGTAATGAGACCATGTTGAGAAAAATAAGGTAGTCAACAGGAAAATCAACCTCATTTATAATAACATTCCTGTGATCAGCAGGTGCATAACTCTCCCTGCTACAGTCATTAACTGCATTCATTTCACACTTAACATCTACATTTGCAAACCATTTGAAAGCAAAATTACCTTTCAATTCAATTTTCAATTTTATTTCATATCTTCAACTTTGATAGACTATTCTCCTCACAGTGGTAACTATATTGAGATTGCAAGTAAATGGTGACAGCTACCCAAGAGTACAGATAAACTCGTCTTCTCAGATTACCTATTCACTTTGCTTCTGTTCACCATTTGCTAATGTTCAATTCAATGCTTAAAACAAACTTAGAAAACATGACACTGGACTGCTAAAGGGATGCTTCATTTATCAGGCTCACTTGTTCTTAAAATGGAAGTATTTGTCTCTTTATAAATGACTTAAACTGGAAGTTTACCAAACATGAAAGCAGGTATTTCATTGATGTCGTTAACCAAAGGGCAACTCCCACACAATTTGTTATTAATGGAAATCTCCTTGTATGCTCGTCAAAATCCAGATAAAATATTCTGCAAATGCTTAATTATTAGTATGCTAGTATATTCATGTACTTAGCAACTCTAGTGCTATTGTCTCCATAAGTAGTATGTGCTTCAGAAACATTAGATAGTATCATCACCATCTCCAGTTTAAGACTGGAAACCAAAGAAATAGCAATGGTCAGCTGATTTGTCATGTTTACAAATTCTTAGAGTGGGATATATTTCTTTTTGGATATCTGTTTCCTGAATTACCACCCATGCTCTGTTAGCACTCTAATGAAAGCGCTGACTACAAGAGTTATTAACAAATGCTTACTTTAACATCTATGTTAATGTCCTTTGCAATTTAACATAGCCTAATACTTTTAAGAATGTTTCTGTATTTCACGCCTGCTTCACAAAGAATTCAAGGAGCCTTATACTAGTAATCATCAGAATTTCAAATAATTCCTCCAGCTACATCTGTTCAACAAAGTTTACCTTCAGTCGCTATCTAAAATCTTCAAACACTGTCAGAAGTACGACAGAATTAGCAGCTCTGTCCTACTTCTGATTTTAAAAGGTTGGTCTAAGTTTTGCAAAATTAATTTTATTGTTCTGTATCTGAAAACATGCTGGGTCTTCGGATTAATATGAATAATTTATCATATCTCTGTCAGCAAAGCAAAAACTATGACTATGATAGCATGTAGTTCACAAATTCAAGCTGTTATGGTGCCTATAAATAAATGACCTACGCATGTAAAATCCAGTATGTGCTGGTTATCAAAAACTGGAAAGTAATAAACTTGTATTTACAGCAGCAACTGATGGAAAAAAGGAAATACAGTACAACTATCTATATTCTGCAGCACTGTTCACAAGCCCTGCAATAAATTTTTTTATCAACAACTACTTCAGGAATATAAACATTTTAAGTCCCTTCCTCCTGCAGATTGGTATATACATAACTAGCTAAACTTTCACAGAAAACTTCTTAAACCTTATCAGGTATGTTCCAGAGTTTGAAACTCCACAGAGTTCCTGTTTATTCAATAAATCAAGAGCACCTCTGTGTTATAAACCCACTAAGCGTCTATGTATGATCAAAACCATCACTCCTCACAGAGTAAAAAGGAGCTACAGCTGTGGTTTCAGGGTATGCTAATTCTGAGATGTCATTCCAAAGAGTTAGGAAAACGCCAGTTTTTCAAAACAATGCCTTCCAACTGTGTTTGATTATTCCCAAGATTTCTGAACATTCTTCTGCCTTGCAAAATATACATTGAACAAAAAGCAAGCACTTGCCTTAATTAGGATGAATTTCAAAAAGAAAAAAAATCCCGAAACTAAATTAGGTTTAAAATACAAAGTCAGTACCTTTAAATTACAGACTAAACCCTATATGTGGGGAGGAACAATCCCATGTGCCAGAACAGCCTGAGGGTGGATTGCCTGGAAAGCAGCTTTGTACAAAATGACTTCAGGGTCCTGGTCACTGGTGGAGAACAAGTTGAGTCAGCAAAGCACATCTCCAGCATAGAAGGTCAAGAGCATCCTGTGCTACACAAGGAAAAGCACTGCCAGCAAACCCAGAGCAGCAACCCTTCCTCGCTACTCAGCTCTGATAAGACCACAGGAGGAGCACTGGGTCCAGTACTCAGCTCCAAGACAGAAGAGACATAGGCATACTGGTGCAAGTCCAGTGCAGGATAATGAAGATTAAGAGACTAGAACATCTGACTTAGGAGAGGTTCAGGGAGCTGAACAGGGAGGTTCAGTTTAGCCTTGAGGAGGTTCAAGGGGATTTCACTAATGCATATAAACCCCTGATGGGAGGGAGTAAAGACTGAGCCACACTCTCCTCAGCAGTATTGAAAGAATGGGTAAGAGGCAGTGTGCAGAAATTGAAATATTCTCTAGTGAAGATACGTGGTAAATAATTTATTCTTCAAAGATTTTATCAATGTTCAGATTCTAAATTCATGTCAAAAATTAAGCATGACACAGAGGAATGTATGATTTTACCAACATGACGTAGGTTATAAATGCCCACTAACTCACAAACCACCGAGACTTAAAACCCTGCATGAATTGTTACAAATCCAATGAGGAATTTTAATAATTGAGTCAATTCACACTAGCATATTTGTTAAAGTAACAAAATATTCCAAGATAACTCTACTTGCACAAAGGCACAGAAGATAACAGAACTACCCAGCAACATAAAATAGCACACCATCCTGACTTAATGAAATAGATTATTCACATTATAATGAACACCACAGGGTTTCCAATGGCCTAGTGTTTCTTTTGTTAACTCAGATCTTAGTTCTGCTGGTTACAAAACTGAGTTGCACTGGTTACTAACAACTGGTGCCACTAGGGGTGGAAATGCTGTCCAAGACTGACAATAACCCAAGTTCCCATTCATGATTTTCAGTTTGTTCTGTCTTCAAGGGAATGTCAGTATTGAAAACATCCAAGAAATAACAAATCTCATTAGCTGAATTCCTTATTCACTTGATAAGTCCCTGTGCTTTAACACAAAGTCTGCTACCACAATTAACAGCTACAAACAGGCAGTAAGTATTCAAGGACATTTTATGCACCTTACAGTAACTCAGTGGAGAAGTCTCGTCCCAGTGGCACAAAAATCTGAAGTGTCAGAAATCTCTGGATCAGCCCCACTAGAAATACGGGGGGAAAAAAAAAACAAAAACAATCAATCCATGTGCTGTGTGTGTGCAGATGCCCATTTCACCATCAAGCATTTCAATTTTGTACCCTACAGCTATGCTCCTGCAACGCTACTTCCCAAGGTTCATGCAACATATGAACACGACAAAAACCTGAAGAAAACCAATTCAAACCGCAATACAAGTGTTGTTTTACAAGTCCCATCTGTGGCTTTGCTGGAATTCTCATGAAAACAAAATGCAACTTTTTTATTTTTACTTACAATTCTTGCGTTTCAAGAGCACCAAACCTCCCATATGCATTATAAAGTTAAGTAATACTTTCCTATTAAAATTATATTATAGTCATATCAAACTTGTGCCCATGTTTGTGACAACATACATGTTATTAAAGAACTTCAGAACACCCTTGGGTACAAATGCAGTTCAGATCATGACAACAATGCTCAGCAGAGGCTTCTGACTTTAGAACAAGAGCAAAAGGAGCTTAACTGAGGGAACAAACACAAGAAATCTTTCAGGATTCAGGCAGCTTCCATCAAGGAAAAACAAATAGTACAAAGCTGTCTGAATTCAACCATACGTTGTCTCCTTAGTTATTCCATCAGGGAGGGGAAGGACTTAACACTATACAGCAACATCAGCTCCTTAAAAAGAGGACCTTCTTCTTTGGTAGGTCAAGTAACACTAAAATTTCAAATTATGTTGTATATATAACATCTTTTACTTTGGAAGATGTTCCAGAGTTCGAGGATTCCAGGTGAGAGAAAACAAGAGACAAACAGGGAACTCACAACTAGTTTATTAATATGGGAAAATATAGAGATAGTAAAGGATACGGTAAAGGATACTTCTGATGTTTGGTTATCTTACCAACCCCAAGGACCCTGTGAAGACAATCAGGAAAGCAGCTCCAAGACTCATCATCGCAATGCGAGGTGGCAGGCTCAACTTTAGCGGGCGTCCCCGTGGAGGCAACACTGACCTGGGTGGTATGAGGTTCTGCCTCCCCTGCATCGCATGAGGCTCAGGCTTTTATACTGACAAAAATGCACACTGATTCCGATGGAGGGGGCCAGCCTACCTTGGAAGAAATGGCTAGCAATACCTAGAAAGGTCTCCAAGGGTCGAGACTCTGCCAGGGAGTTCTAAAGCAGAACTTTCTGGGTAGGAACCAAAGCAGGACTTTCTGGGGAGCAGCCAAAGCAGACAAACAGTACTCTTCTATCTTTATGTGTTTCACCATAGACCATTATCTATTGTCCCTGACACAGAAGAGTACTCAAGGATCACAGTACAACTAGGAGATTGTATACTTGACGTTCTTGAGCTACATACACCCCAAGAGACGAAGAGACTGAATGGTGACAGATGGAAATTTGAGTATATTATTGCAGCATTAGCTAAATTTAAAACTATTCTTAGCAGTGATAATCCACAACACTAACTCTCAATCCTCATTTTAGGATGTAGTAGTTTATTGTAACTTTGGCAATAAAAAAAGTTGTATTTCTCAGAAAGATACACTGAACTAGTATGTATTATAATTAAGATAACAGTAAATTTCTTTTCTAAAAAGTAAAATGAGATAGGGGAGAGGAACCTACTTCATATTCTATAATGCCAATAGAATCACTGGCTGAAGTGCTGAAGGCAGTGAGACATTGGCCAGGCATCAGCCTGCAGCAGAACCAGGTGCAGAAGTGAACTCAGCAGCACTAGGACAGCATGTATCAACAAGGATCTTCCCTACAGCCATTACTTTAATTTCTGTACCTTTTACTTCTTTGTATCTGACCATCTAAAAAGTTAATGAAAAAACACTTTGCTAATACTGAATTATGCCCTAAGTAAGGGAGAATAGAGCAAGTTTTATATTGCAATACAAGACTGATTTAATAATCAGAACAACATCACAGACATTAAATTCTTTGATACTTACATGTTTGTCTAGTTTCCTTTGGTAGCTGCATTTTGTTGACTCAACTGTTTCCTTCAAGTACAAAAACAAAGTGTTTTACTTCTTTATCATATTCCTACAGAAAGGAACAATAACCAAACAGAAGCATCATGACAGAATTTTTCTCACAATCAACCACATTAACATGCAAAGCTGAATTTTTTACATCACAAATGGCAGATTGCACTGCAAGTATAACAGGAGTCCAAATATGATGGTAATCTATTTTAATGGGTTATGTCCTTTACTTGCATGGCTTATGAACAAATAATACTGACAAACAGGATTCGTGATCCAATGGAACCAACTCAACCCATTAGATAGCAGAATAGCAAAATTACTTCCTAAATATTTCAACTATAAAACTATGTTGCAAGCAACCTAGTCTGCAAGCAGGCACAAAGAACTAATTTAAACAGTCATTTAGTCTGTCATAATGACAGAACTGCAAGTGCCAACTACACTGTCAGGTCAGAGCCCTCATTACCTTCTAATTTTAATCTTCATTCACATTTTTTTGTTTTCTACTCCTTTTATAAGTTTCTCTAAAAAACATACTTTCATATAGCTGATGGATTGCCAGAAATCTCCCATTTTGCTCCCAGGTTCTTGCCTTGAGCACTGAATATTTCCACAAATGGGCCACCCTAGGAAATGACAATGAAATGGTTTAAGGATACACCATCCAACCACATGTTCAGCACTAAATCATCAATGGCCAAGATGAGTAGATAAGAACAATCCCTCCCCACATGAGGCTGTTACCACAGACAGTATTACTGATCAGTCAGCAGAACATTAATAACAGCTTCTTGACTACTGCAACATAGCAATTAAAATAGTCAATACTTCGCTTTAATAGAGAAGCAGAACATAAAATTGAAGGAATACCATGCAATGTTTTACATTTTATTTTATGCCATTCTCTAAAAGGCAAAACTACAATAATTTTTGATGTTTTGAGATTAGTAATTTATATTTGGATATGGTTAATTTATACAATTCACCAAATGAGGTGAGTTTTAAAACTTAATGCTAAAAAATAAGCTATTGCAGATTGAATGTTTTGTCTGATTTCCTATGGAAATGAACTTTATACAATCTGTCTACACATGTATGTTAAAGACACTTCCCAGTAACTTCTCTACCAGTTACCAATTTCCAGCCTGATTTGACCAGTCTGGGAAACTCACAAAAATTTACCATCTTTACTGGGCCAACTTAAGTGGCCGCAAGGTAGATCTGACCCTACCAGTATTACCATAAATAGGGCTGTACTCATGCTGCAGTCTTCACGAGACATCAGATCATTAATAGTGGAAAAAAATTATCAATGCCCCTGCCAGGTGACAACTCCTTACACAGACCATGTGTGCTCTTAAACATCAAAGAGCCTAACCCCAGGCTCTTGGGGGACATAGGCTTTATCACGTCTCCATAGGGAATTATTTGCTTCAATATTTTTCCCATTTGATGTCACATTTTTGGTGACATCTGATGTACTCAGCCTACAGTTGGCTAAGCATTTTGTCAGCAGCATGCTTGACTTAATCAATCATTGCAGCTCTGCTGCTCTCTTCCCATTCTTAGTTGTCTGCACTCCCTGATTGTTTCTGCTCAGCTGCCCAAACAATCGCCCACAAGTCAGAATGAACAAGAGGGGTGAGCAGTTTTGCCAGCAAAATAAATGCTCTTCAAATTATGCTTTCAGAGAACATCAACTCTGCACCATGTATGAATCAGGCATTTTCCTCTGCTCACCCACACCTGGCATCTTCCACTCACATGGCTAACCCTAGTGACCAGACCAAATTCTAAGGAGATTCAAAATGGCATTCCAGAAACTGCACTCATAAAAAGTTTTTTAAATTTAGAATCAATAAAAATAAGTGGCTTTTCCTAACATATTTACAAATACCTTTTGTTAATACTCAGCCCTTGAGTAGGCCCTCAGTTGAGGTTAAACTTCCTGAACAGGACATAAAAAACTACCAGACATGGCATGAGAAAAAGTTCCTTATTGCCATGGAGGATGGCTGGACCTAATGGGTGGCCAAGGGGGAGTTAAGCAAGTAACTGTCAAACTCCACTATCAACTGGAGGGGAGTATGGAGCACCTTTTGGGGAGCACAATCCTGCAAAGCTGACACCACCAAGGCAGTGGAACCCAAAAATACTATATAAAGCTCAGATAGCCAGGTAACAGCACCAGAAATACCAATTTCAGGTATAGGAGTAGAACATCGGGGACCAGTGGGGGAAACAATAATTACATGTGGGCTGCTCTCTTCGGAGGGCACTGGTGTAGAGAAAGGGAAGCAAAGCATGGTGAAAAGGAAGGCCAGGAAAAGTAAAAAGGACAATAAGATCTGTGAATTAAATGAAGCAATGAGTGTTGTTACAACCCTGTGCTGGACCAAGAGAATAAACCAACCCCCATTTTCTGACTATACCTGAAGTGTTGGGCCTGCGCCCATGACAGGGTGGGAGCAAATGGTGTGCCTTCCCTGGCCAGTGAAAGACAGACAAGAAGCCATGGGTAACAGCATGTTAGTGTCCATGCTAGCTCTGACAGCATCAGCAGCTACCTCCTATTTTATAACATTGCTAGAAAAAATACTGAATAATGAAAAATTCCAAAACATTTTTTTTTCTGGACTTTTTGCTCACCCCACTTCCCCCAACTAAGCCAACTTTAACTAAGTTCTCACAGAGATTAAATGAAAAAGGGTAAAACAAAGCCTATTAGCTTTACCTGATAACGATTTTTAAACCTTTTCCAGTTTTCACAGGCAAAAAAAAAACAATTTCAAACTTCTCAGACAGCAGTGTCTTAAAGTTGCCTGTAAATAAAATAAAAATGGAAACCCAATCAGATTATCAGAAATTTACCCCGGGCTGTTTCCTGAAACACCAGTTCAGTTTAAACTTTTAGATTATAAGGAAAGGGAAATTTAGGAACCATGGCGTTTGTAACAGGCCTATCAGAAAATGTAATTAGTATGTTGATCTTATTACTTTCATCCTGCTGCTGCACATCGAACACGGGTTGCATGATTCTGTATTTTAGACAAGTTTCCATACAAATCTCCCACTTGTTCAGTTACCATAATTGTTTTTTTTAAGAATGACTACATCAACAGCTATATTGAACTATTCTAAATTATGAACTAGATGGTTTAGAAATGCCTTTTAAAGAATGTACTTCTAATGCATGTATTATTCATATATATATTCATTTTACATACAGAGCAATCATTCTGGAAAGCACCGTTTGTTCATTTTTTTGTCTGCAGCCTTATCTTTGCTATTATCTACAGCCTTTAAACAAGCCACAACTACTGAAAAATTACATGATTCATGTCTTAGAAGTAGTGGCACCACGGAGCTAATCTCAGAGTGACCTACTGCTTTGATTCACTTGGGCAGAACTAAATGTGAAGGACCAGCAGTGCAAGAGAGGCAGAAGACAGACCCTCCAACAGCATATACTTACAATGAGTATTGCTGTAACTGTCAGTGATGTACTTCTATAACTAATGATTTCACAATCCCCCAGGTTTTATGTATTAATTTTAAGTGAAGGAGGTAGAAAGGAAGACGCTGCTTTTACTTGGAGCAAAGCCCTTTCACTTTTGCTTTAAAAATCAGTTCCAGACTTGCCAAACAGCATGCATTTCATACAACCCTCACCTATTCTGCAGTTATGTTATGCTTTATTATATCTCAGGGAAAAATATTAAAGCTAAATAAATGTAGGGATCCTGATGGAAGAGTGACTGCATTAAAAGTATAAAGTTCCCAGACTGAAAAGAGCAACTCATCTCTTTCATAGACTAGCACTAATATTCTGGTCAGGAGTCTCCAGAGACTGTAATCATACTATATATTTTGAAAAAAACATTTAATGCATGGCATGTATAGGCCACTTCATTACCACACCATCATTTGGATTGAAAGGTAAAGCTACTTAGCAAGCTGGACAGCTACAGTATTCGTAGACACTGCTGTAGTCAGAATTACATGTAAGACATAGCATGTAATACTTTTTCTTCAATGTGTTCTCATAAGGCATACCTGGCTTTCATAGGAGCCAGTCCACCAATGGCAAATCACACAGGGTTCTGAAGGAAGATGCAAACAGCTCTGCATACAGTGCATGAGTGGAAGTCACCTTGATATATTAACTTGGGTTCAACACTATGCTAATACACTTTGACTCTCAGCAGTGCTTATGAGCTCTAGCTTCACATCTGTTGTGGTTTAAACCCAGTCAGGTAACTTGTTCACTCACTCCCAGTGAGTGGTGCCGAGCTGACAACAATCGAGGTCCGTCCCCCGCCCACACCGGGGGTCTCCCCTTCCCCGCTCCCAGAGGAACGGGGAGGAGGAGAACAGTGCAACTCCTACGGGTTGAGACACACAACCAATGTACAACACAAATCACCACCGCTACTATCAACAACAATGATAAGGGAAAATCACAAGGGAAGAGAATACGATACCACCGGCCAAGAAACGAGTCCCACCCGGAAGCCCGTGTCCTTTCGGGTAACTCCCAGTTACCCCCACCCCAGCCATGACGTGCTGTGGTATGGAATACCTCCCTGGCTAGCCCGGATCAAATAATTACGCCCCATCTCGCTTCCTCCCGGCTTCCCCTCCTCCCTGGCAGAGCATGAGCCTCACAAAGTCCTTGGTCAGGGTAAACGTCACTTAGCAACAACTGAAAACATTGGCTTCACCAACACTGTTCTCAGGCTGGAAGTCAAAACACAGCACTGCACCAGCTACCATAAAGGGAAAAACATGACTGCTACTGCTGAACCCAGGACAACCTCACACCATCACAAGGAGTCCTCAGATTGTCAGCTGAAGTTCATTCTTACAAAACGGCTTGATATTTGTCACCAACGTAGTTGGTTTTTAAACTGACATACAGGAAGCTAATTTATTTACTAATTTGCAAAACATATTTTATACAGACTCAGGAAACTGATGACCCTTGTCATGTTTTAGTTCATAACAAGCTGGCTCATTTTAGTGAAAGGGAAGCTAGACCCAAGGTTTGCAAACTGTGTTGGGACAATTCATTCACACTAGGCCGATTACTGTAAACTTTGTCAGTTTGTCCTTCATAAAGACAAGAAGTATTGCACGTGACACTGCAATACATATTTGCTTATATATTGCTTACTTGTAACTTTGCAATTTCCATTAAGTTACTACAAATGAAGACTACAAATTACCTTTGTTATTAAGATTGGTAGCTGCTAAAAGCATTAAGTGAATGGACATTTGTCATGTAAGTACTAAGATAACATTAAGAAGTGCTTTCATTATGTATCAAGTATTATTGTCTTTATAGTAACCTGTAATTAAAAACAAAACAGAATAGGCTGAAAAACTGATAATTGCAGTATTTTTCATCTTTCCTGCATCTTGAAATCCAAGCCCTCAATATTTCGCATATTTGTCAAATAAATAGACATGACATATTTATAGAATGCCATGAAGTAGCAGTTCACTCATTTTTCAATCACAGATCAAACTTATTTTCTTATTGCAATGAGCCACATACTTTAATACATCCTCCAACTGGAAATACCAAGCTTAAAATGTCAGTCAATGACAAACCAAAAACGTA